AATGAGAAACTGAAATAATCCCCCGTTATCCCATTTACAGCTAGTTATTAATGCAATTCAGTAACTTCAGATATGACATTGTGGAGTTCTGATTTTACTCCTGTAAATATTGAATCTAAGTAATGGTAGAGGATAAAATGGGAAGCTGTGCTCTGGTGAGCCCTAATGGAAATCGGTGAAATAGTCAGAACTTCCACATAATTTTCTCTGTTGGTCTTCAGTGTGGAAAACAAAAGAGCAGTGAGGGATCTGCTGAAATTTCCAAGAAAGTCAAGGATTGTAGCTGTTACTTCAGAGCTGGTGTTTAGCTCCTTTTTTCTGGGATGGGGATATTGGTGGGTTTTGGTTTTTCCACTGGGACATTTGTCCTCTTACAGGCATGTTGCCAGGCACTGGAAATATTATCAGTGGTACAGCATTGGAGAACTTTTCCTTCAACTCTTTCTTTGCTTTAGTAATTGGCTTTAGTAAGTCAGTTGCTATGTGGCATGTGATAGCCCTTGGCCCATATTACTCTCTCTCTCTTTTACTTTCCAGTTTAAAAGTTTCTGCCATATCTTCCTACTATAAGAATAAAAGTACAAAAGTAGAAGTGACTATTTTTAGTGGATTTTTATGTAGCAAAGCTCAGGGAGACACAAAGCAGAGGCAGGTAAATGTGGCTTTGACACAGAGATGGAGATCAGCAGTGCATTGTGCCCTGGAGGACAGAGGGCTTCTGAGCAAAGGTGGTGATGGGGCCAGGTAACACTATCAATTGAAACTGGACTGAATGAGTAGGCAGGAGTGAGCATAAGGTGGCATGGTTGTGACTCTTACGAATTGTCCTGTGCAGGGCTAAGGGCTGAACTCGATGATCCCTGTGGGTCACTTCTAACTCAGCATATTCTGTGATGCTGTGATTCTATTCTTTCAGTTTCTTAAAAAAATTTCCCATCTATGGGAGGTGAGAGCTGTAACACCTCCTAATATTAGACTGTGAAAAATCCACTTTGCACATAAATCACACAGAGTGAAGACAAAATGGACAATTCTTTATTTCAGAGGGTGAGCTAGCTTATATGTGGTAGAGCATGGAATGTGTGGAATTTGGGAGGATTTTAGGGAGTTTCATGCAAGGGGATGTCTATAAATGGAGAAGTTAAGCTAAACACATCCAAATATGGGTGAGAGGAGATAGAAAAACAGGGAAAAGCTATAAATTTTAACTATTGGGGGCCAATAAGCATAGGGTTTACAATCACCCAATAGGGACAGGGCTAACAATAATTGAAACTGCAGATTACATACAAAGCAGGATTTTTTTCTAATAACATTGTTACTAAATTGAATAAACAGAACACTTATATAACATGAAAAACAGTCTCTGAGGTAGGAAGTTATCTGTTGTCCAGTAGTTTAGCTTCATTCCAAAGCGGTCTTTTCTTCAGTTCTCCTTTTCTTCAGTGACTTTTCTCCACCAAGAATATATCTCTTGCAGAGGACTTCCAACACCCATCTAGTATAACCAACAGTATTCAGCTAGATGAAGATATATCTTTCCCTTTGCTGGAAGAAGGTCTCAGCAGTGGGACTGTCACAGTTAGGGAACATCCCATGACAAAGCCTGCTGTGATCCATGATGATAATCCTGTGATCAAAAACTGCTAGTGGAATTGATGGCCAAGAGAGATGTGATTCCTATGCTCTCAATAACCACAATCAACCTCACTGATATTCCAATACTGAGCATCGCCTGCAACAAGGACTGTGTTTGTGACCAACACGAAGGTCATCTTTTCTGTCCTCCTATACATGGTGGCAGAGATGTGACCTGGAACTACCCTGAAGTTTTTAATGAAGGAATTTCTGATAGCTATGGATGATGGTGGAAACAAGAGATTTTGAGGAAGCTGCTAGAAACAATCCCTAAAAAGCAGATCGTCATGGTATATTGGAAAAGGAGTTAGGGTGTTGTCCAAGAAAACATGTTCCTGGATCTCACTGACAGAAGAGCACTATTGCTGTAGTGTAGCAGTTCCTGCTACAAATAGAAAATTATGCCTAATTCTGAATGCACTCATTTGTGCCACACCTGGTAATCAACTGATCCTGCACTGACATTTGTGACCCAGTGATCTGGCTGCAGGCTGAAGTTCCCAGTGATGCTGTGTATGAAGTGCTAATTCAGACTTCTCTGGGACTGTCTGGTGCCAATGGAAGGCACTGAAGTGCTGGTTACTTAACTTCTGCAATGGATAGTGCTTCATATTTAGTTCTGTTTTTCCAAATGCTCTGTTTCAAAACCTTCATCTGTCTTTGAGCTATAAAACACAAATAGATTTCCTAAGGATTGGGTGTTGTTTTGGTCTGACCTTCTTATCCTGCAGAGCAATAACTCATGGTGAGCAATTACTTTGATTCATTATTATTTTTAGAGCACTTTTCCCTCTAAGATACACACTTTTGGATGAAGTAAAATATTAAGCCTTTTGAAGCATAAGTTCAGTTGCTAGAAATTGAAATAAGCTCTTCACACTTTATGAAGGGATTTTAAACTTCCATTATGCTGAAAATAGTACTTTAAATTCAGATGTGCTTTTGTTAAAATAAAAAGTGAATAACTAAATTATTTGCTTTGAAGTTAAGGGGTTGTTTTTTCACAATAATATTACTTTTGGTACTGTATTATTATTATTGTTAACTTATTTCAATGACTTTGAACTAAGAATCAGATATTCAAGTGCTATTAAAAGTAATTTTCCTTATTTTTTCTGAAATATTGTAATCAGATCATATAAAGTCAGGCAAATGAGGCAATACACAATATATGTCCACTTTTCACTCTCCCTAATAATTGCTTCAGTTACTCTTACCTTCTCAAGTACTGTTCTCTAATTATCTCATTTTACAAGTTAGGATCTTTTTAAACTGCTAATTTATGTGGAGTCAGAACCTACATATTATATATCCTCCATATGAACTTTAATGGCAATTTCATAATGATTTAATGAAGTTTTTCCAACCAAATAAAAATAAGCATGTAATTTGAAATGTTTTGAAGTCAAAGAAACAGATACTTGTGCCTAAATACGATGTACTTATGTATTACTTTCTAAAATCATGATTTATATCATAGACATGACTTTACATACACAGCATAATACTATTTTAATTTGTATTTCCAAAATAAACCAACCATTTCTTCTTCTTGCATACATCGTGTTTTTTACTCATGTTTTCAGCTAGTACTTTGAGTTACTTACAGTGTATGTTCAAATGCTGGATCATGTAAAGACTATATTTTGACTGTCCATAAAATTCAACTTTGCTAATAATAGATTAGAAGGTCTTTTGGGTTTGGTACAAAATTAAATTCTTTTGAAAAGATGCTCTCTTCCTACCCCATGAAACCTCTTCTTATACATTCTTGTGAGAATCAGTCACTTTGAACACTACTAAGCAATATCTTACAGTTCAAGGAGAAAAATTTTTTTTTTTTTTTTTTTTCAGATCATATAGTTTGTTAGTTTTCAGATGCTACTGCCAGAGCAGGTATATTTAGAAATTTCAGAGAGATTCTAATTCAGCTTTTAGGGCAGACAGGTTTTCTCTAGGACTGGAATAGAGTTGAACTTGTACTCTGTCCTCTTATTCCTTTGACAAGAACCTCAGTCAAGGATTTGAATATTTATTGATTACTTAGTTTTCTACAGTCTAAATAATGAATTAATTAAATTAATTGGTTAAGTTAATGAACACATTTGACTAATTAAAATTACCACTAACACATTCCAGCTTTCTAATGAGATTACTTTCCTGCCAAATATGTCCAAATCATCTTCAAGTCAGAGGACAAGAATAAGGTCCAGAATATCTGTCTTTCATTTTGTTTTATTAACAAGGCATATTCAGTGTGGGTTAGTGTCATCTGTATTTCCCTCTTCCTATTCCTATTTATTAATACAAAACCATTTATCAGTTCTCTTGCTTGCTCAGCCAAGGTGCCATCCATTCATTTCCACCATTCCTCTTGATGATTACAAGCCTTGCAGGTACTAAAGTAGTCTGTTGATGACAAAGCAAGTAGTTAACTGAATAGTCAGCTCACTCGTGGTGTGATACACTGATTTATATTTAAAGTTTGCATAATAGGTTTAGCTATGATAGCTATTTATCACCATTTGCTTCAAATAAGGGGTGGAGCTAATCTTGGAAAAAGCTTTGCATGTTTGTTGGAAGGAAGCTGAATGCCGTCCCAGTTGAAAATGCTGACTCATCTCTGTCTTATTTACATATAATTTAAACTCAGTGCAAAACTACTACCTTCAGACGAGGAAACTAAAACTATTGCTTGAACAAGCCTTTGTAAACTACAGGTTTTAGTGAGAGAGGAAAAATATGTTTTAAAAGGCATAAATAGGAGTAGATTTTCACAAAACATGGGTGTTCAGATGTTTGCAGTGACGTGAGGGACATGCTGGTTTTGTTTGTCAAACAGTAGCAGAGCTGAAAAATTACCAGTAACTTATTTGTGACAGTGGAATGGGGAAGGCTGCAGGGTGATTTACACCTTGGAACCTGAGAGGCATTTTGCAGTTTCAGAGATCTTCTGGCTTTTAAGATGCAGGATTTTAGCACCTACCTACACCTCTACATAGTTCAAGTGGCATCTATGGACCTGGTATCAGTTTCCACTACTGTGGCCTTGGCAAAATTTCTTTGTTATTTTTTTTCTGGGACAAAACCAGTCTGTCACTTCTGAATGCTTGTTGCCTTGAAATCAGTAAGATCTTTCATTAGCAGTAAAATCCAGATTTCACTCAAATGTGTAAGCAATACTTTCTAGCAATAAATTTGTTGTGTAGTTCTGACTGGTTTCACCCCCACACACACTATTGATATTTAATTAGCATAGCACAGATTATCTCATAGTAAATATGCAACATGTTTATAAAAACTAAATTGTCTTCCTGGTATGTTTCACTGAATGCTAAAATTAATGGTTTTTGTTTGTTCAGATGGTTCTTTGGCCAAACCAAACGAGCAGATGCCGAGAGACAACTGTCATACCCTGGAAACCAGGCAGGAACCTTCCTAATCCGAGAAAGCGAAAGTCTAAAAGGGGAATACTCACTCTCAGGTATATTCTAGTTTTTCATCTGAAGCAATGTTTTAAAAATTTCTCAGGTGATCTGGGCTTTTTCATTTTTGAGAACAATAAACTGCGGGCATGAAAATGAAATTAAGTTTATAACAATATTTATTTCCTGGGAGATATATAAAGAAAATTTGGCAAGAGTAATTTGAGTTTATATTTTATAGGCTTTGTTTATCAATATGCTCAGAACAGAAATTAACTTTTTTATGTTTAGTACTTCTAGTGTGCCAGCTGCCTTAAAATAGATGGTATTTTCACAATCAAAGCACAAAAACTTACATTGCAGTTGTACCCTACTGTTCTGATTAGCACACAAAATAAAAGTAAAAGCATGTTGGCAGATATCTGCAGTTTAAGAAAAAGAGATTTCTCCTAGAGCTCACACTTAGGTTTATATTTATTTGTTTTCAGGGGTAAAATGATAAATCTTCAAAGCTGTACTTTAGAATCAATAATGTTTCATGGAGAAATGAGTTGTAAACATCAGTAAAAAATTAGATTTATGATGATGATGCATTTTGAAACTTATTTAAGTTCTTTATTTGAATCTAAGATATTATCTGATAAGGACTGTTAACTTACTTGTTAATAATTATACTCACGCACATATAGGTACATCATCTTTTTCATGCTGTAGATATTTGCCATTTTAAATAGTAAATGTTGTTGTTCATTAGTTGTTTTCTGTGAACATTTCCAATCAAACTTGACATACAACTATGAGTCCAAGGGAATAATGTTGTCCCTGAGATGACAGGGCTCTACACCTAAGCTACCTAATGTGCTCTATCTGTGTTAATTCCAGACACCAGCAAAGACTCTTGATGTTTGTGAATAAACCATAAGTATTCATATGCAGAATTATGTCAGTAAAAGGAGAGGCACCCTGTGCATAACCAGATTCTTTCATAATGACTCCACTTTTGCCGGAATACTTGTGTCATTCAAATGTTCTGAAAGTTATGCAGAAACACAGCTTAATGAACTTTTGACACATTCTTGGTTTCTCTTTCCCAATTATAAGGAAAGGGGATATACCTGCAACATCTTGCAGTAATGGAAGGATTGCTTTTCATTGCCAAGACAAAGAAATATGGAGTGAAAGACAGGGAATTTTATGAAATAAATGTGGTATTTACAGTTCTGGGGGAGTTCACGCCATAATTTTCAGTTTGCCCTCAAGGAAGTTGGTTCTTGACATAAAGTGCTGAAAGGAAAACTACCATCAGCGAGGAATCAGATTGCTCCTCAGATGTGACAGAACTGACCCCTGTGCATGCACACTTTCATCCAAGGATTGCATTATAGCCAAAGATCTTGCAAAATGCTTTCTTTTCATGTGCCAGGTTACAGATGTATTACATGGTTTCAGTTTCTTTCAAGCATTCTTCATCCAAGGGCTGGGCTAGACCAATAACAGTGTGGTGTAATGCAGGGAAGGACAAATAGGGGTGTATTATGTTTTTAATGCTAGCACTTGACTATATGACACCTTTTACTAAAAATCAATGAAATATCTTCTGTTTATGCAACTAGGAGTGAACATGCAATTTCTTTTTATTATTCTCCAACTACAGGCTTCTAGGAATGATTCAAAACCTTAATTATTTATACTGCATCCTAACCACTTCTCTAACAGGAAGGAAGCAGTACTTTAGTTAAACTATGAGATACTCCAGAGAAAGATCCAAGACAAGGAAAATAAATATTAGGCCAGAATTTGTGATAGAATGAGATTATCCTTTGATGCTGCTGTTTAATTTTTTCCTTACAAATTTTGGACAGAAAGTTTATTCTATCTGATTTAGTATATTTGATTCAATTATAAAAGCCTGTGGTAGACATTTTTCAGGTTTCTGTATAAGCTTATTCAGGAACAGGAGATTTGATGATGACTGATAGCAGCAAGATATGAAACCATCAGTGTGAATTTCTTTCCCGCATTCTAAAGCCAATGATGAAGAGGTTTGTGCTGTGGAAAGCATTAATTGGAAAGAAGGTTGTTTAGTTCACCAGATACTATAGAGAAGGCAGTTTTCCTGCATCTCTCCTCTTTGTGCCATCAGAAGGAATTATGAGACACTCAAGTTGAAGCAGAATGATAGCTTCTGTCTCCATGGTAGCTGATACACTGACAGGGGAGAAGTCAAAACCTGGTATTTTGGAATATGCCTAATTTCTGTTTCCAGTTTTTTCAGTGCAGAAGGAATAGACTCCCAAAGTCCCATCCTCTGTGGATATGGTTGGTTTTACTCTCCCTTCTATTGCTGTTTTGGTTTCATTTCAGAGTAGATTAAAATGGCTAAAAGAGTGATAACTTGGCTTTCAGAATTAAGGTCTTTAAATGTCTTAATTCTTTATACAACCTAACATTTAAGTGTAATAAAGTTGAAAAAATAAGGGAAATTGAAAAGAAAGAGAGATTTTTACCCAAGAACCCATAAACTGCTTTTATGACTTTCATGCTTGATTTCATACTCATACGGGCAATGTATAAGAGACTTAATATTAATTAGAGAAACAAATTATCTCCTTAGGAAGAAAAAAGAAAAAAACCCTACCTCTCATGAAAATGGTACTTTTCACCTCTAACTTGGGAAAAGTCTCAATTTGTAAGATGTAGATACTAAGTAACTATTTAAATTAAAAATAAAAAGTCACATTCAGAAAGGTTTTTCTCATCTGTGAATGGTTAAATGGAAAGCTCATCAAACCAGATAGGCCACTGAGATGTGTTGCTATAAATTTAAAGTGTTTGACATTTTAAAAATAGGTTTTCCCATTTTAAAAATGCACATGTTGTCAACTGATTTTTATGTTGATGACTCCAGCATCTGGTGTGAAATGTATTAAATTTTAAACACGTTGGTGCCATCTTAGACATTGCCTCTTTTTAATTAAAAGCCATAATTTAGATGTGCTCAGCTTAATTGAGTGTCATTGCCAATGATAGCAGGAAGCTCTCTACTTAGCCCGTCACTGAATAATGGTATCTGAAAGACTTATTGCATTAAATAACAATGTAAATGGTTCGTGTTTTCTTCAAAATTTTTTTCCATGCTCTAAAAAAATATTGTTTGGTTTCCTCTAAGCCAGACTGGGTTTCAGCATAAGAAAAAGCAGGTAATTGTTTAAAGCAGCAGACTCATAGGACTTGCAAAATCATGGCCACAGTAAGGAAAAGATATTGGATCTGCCTCTGCACCTGTTCTGTGCTGATGAGGGTGATCTCAGGGGTCACTTTCCCCCCACTTCCACCCTGGGCATGGAGACTGAGCAAAGGTTGTGCTTGTGCATGGCCACTGCTGGGGCAGCACTGCTGACAGGAGTGATGTGGGGACACATTGTTGCTGGTGGTAATGATGCCTTGGTGTCTCCATGATTCATGGGGTGAAGATGTCGACTCTGTGGACGCCACCATACATTTTTCTGCCCTGGGGAAAGAGTAGTACATTATTTTATTCTCATTCTTTAGGTGTCAAAGCCTACTTCTACTTAGTCCCATCATATTAAGATGGATTGCAGGGAGAGGAGAATCCTTCTATTAAACTGAAACCATGTAGAAATCTAGTGGGGAACTGTGGTTCTTCTGGAAAGGGCAAGTTGAGGAAAAAACCATTGCAGTTTTCAACCCTAGCTACTGTCAAGCTGTGTGAAGCTGAAGTCACAATCCTGTTCTGATAAGCAGTCTGGCATGGATGTAGGGATGACTGGAAGGAGTTATGCCTAGCTCTTCCCTGGATGACGTGCTCTCCTCTTGGCAGTGGAGCCACACCATGTCACAGAGCTGCAAGTGTGTGGTGCAGCCACACTCGGCTGGACTTATCCCTGGGATACAAGTAAACAATGTTCTGTCGAATACTGCACTAATCTCAGCTACTTATCACAAGAAGAGATGGTTATCAGTTCAGAAATTTTCTCCAGCTTCTCCACACACATCACTGCCTGACCTGGATGCTGTCAATCAAAAGGCTTCTTAGAAATCTCATTTAAGAAATTAGAGCACATCTTTCAAAACAACTCCTGCATTATTAATGTTAGGTGCTTCACAAGTAACATTTATAATACTTCTAATAAACAAAGCAGGCAGTCAAACTGCGATTACTTGTGATGTACAACTGAGACTGAATTAACAGTCATCCTGTTGTTCTTTTATTCAGTGCATCATAAAGATTTATTAATTTGCGCAGATCAATTTTCCTGTGAACTTGAGAGAAGTCAGCAATCTTTCAGTCTTTTGTTACCAAATTACTCCTTACTTCATTCTGCCCAGTTTCCAAATGATACATCACAAAAATATGCATGTATTTTATAATTAAAAATACTACTTGTGAGTGTTAATTTAACAGGAAATGGCATTTGAAAAGTGTGATGTATTTATCTTTATTATCTAGATTTTATTTGCAAATATTCTTGTTCCCGGTCCTCATGATTGTAAATTCTCAGGTCCCTAAAAGTGCTGCCTAGGGTGGAGTATTTTGAACAGCTCCTCTCTGCCCTCTGGTGGTCTGTGACGACATCGCACAGTACAATACAAAAAATATTTGATTATCCACGATAGTTCTTAAGGAAGAAGAGCTTTTCCTTTTTAACTTGATCACTTAAATTGTGAGAGAAATTACTCTTTATATCAGCTTTGTTAATTGCATGCAACCAGTAATTTTCTACATACAACTGTGCGAATAAGCATTATTCTGTTATTATAACCAACGTGTTTGCCAAAATCCATGCAGTGTTACAGTATCAAGGATATATCAGCTATAATAATAATTCCAGAGAGAAGTAATAGCAATTTTTTCATTTAGCTATTGCTTCTTGCTTTTTTTCCAAAAGGTAGTGCTTCTTATTTAGTCCTTCTCCATTGTTTCTTCTTCTGGCCGATCCTCAGACACATCAGATGATCCCATTCTCCTATTTGGCTTGATTTACCATCTCACTGGCCCCAACCCTAACTGGGCAGGCTCTGTCCCTTCACCTTGAACCCACACCAGCTCTAACACACAGCAAAAAATCAGTCCACACTTTCAAATCCTGGTCTGTCACTTAATCTTACAGCTTGGTAGCATTCATTGAGCTCTGAAATTCCTAGGATCAGTAAATCTCTGTGCAGTGAATGCATGTATCTTTTGTTTAAGACACAGCAAATTTGCCCTACTACTCAAACATCTTTCTTGTTAAGTTATGCTTTATATAGGATTTATATTTATCAGGATTCCTCATTACCAGCTAGACTTATTGTGGAACACTGGTAATGTTAGATCTAACAGCTGTAGCATTGTTAGGAGCTAAATCAGTTACCCTTCTGTATGCAATATAAACCCTCAATTGCCCATTGAAAATGGACAGTGTTGCCTAACTAATGGAGTGTCTTGCTAAAAGACACCCATGTAAGTAACTAAATACCTTTTCAGCTCTTCTGAACTGCCCTCTGAGCCTAAAAAGATTTTTGAGCATTCACCCTATATATATCTTTTTTTTTTTTTTTTGGTAAATTTTATACGTGTATTACTGTACTGATAGATTTTGTATGTTATAGAACATACACAAAAAATTTAAAAAGGATGAGACAAAGATGAAATAAGCAGTACTTAAAAATATTTATTTTATTTATCAATGGTACAAAAATACTTTTTTTGCCCTTGCCACAATAAATTGTCTTATGTACTCCCTGGGTTGCATACACTGCTTTTGCTCTAGCCTGTGTATAACAGAGACTTCAGAAATGACAATTGTGGGCCTAACATTCCTTGAATAGCACACTAGATGAGTGACTGCATTTTTTGTCCCTGTCTGATACGGTGTTGGTCCAGGTCTAGCCTCAGCATGCAGTGACCCAACCTTCTTTCTGACACATCTAAAGAGTGCTCCAATAGGCAGACAGAAGGACATTTTGGGTGTCATCATATGCAGATAAATAACCTACAGGAGGTGAGGAGAGTAAAGTCTTGTTGATTAAGAATCAACAGATCAGAATAAAACACATTTCAATGGAAAGAGGTTAATCAACTACATGAAACAGAGCATTATTCACCTGATTTTTACATATTCCAAACACATACAAAACTCAAAAAACCCTTTGGAAGATGTGAGTGATTTTTGGGGAATTGTGGCCGTGTGAAGAGTATATCTGTTTCCTTTCCAATGCCTACCAGCCCAGCAGCTACTATTCAGAATGTTGACCCTGATAAAGGAAAGACTAAAATCGATTAAATGATTACTGTGAGTAAGATGCTTCTAGTTTTGGTGTCTTCAGAGATGGAAAACATGAGCTGCCTCACAGAAGATGTATTTAGGTACTTCTACTTCAGTTTTTAGGGTGCAAGCAAGAATCTCCCAGCCTGAATGGCTGAAGACTGATAGATAGTATTAAGATATCTAAACAGTGGGCTTTGGCTTGAAAAAGGCTTTTTATACTGTCCTATTCAAAACTAAAATAATTTATTTTAAAGTCCTCATAAATATATTTTGGAACCTTATGATGATTTGGTCATAAATGATATTGTACCACTGCAATAATTCCCAGAAACTTAATATATTTAAATCTTTTTAGTTTTTGATGGTGCATCTGTGAAGCACTACAGGATCAGAAAGCTGGATGAAGGAGGCTTTTTTCTAAGCAGAAGGAAAACTTTCAAAACTCTGAATGACTTGGTTGACTATTATAGCAAGAACAGTGATGGCCTCTGTGTGTTGCTCAAAAAGCCATGCCTAAAGGTAAGGGTGGAAAATATTTATTGTAAGCTAACTCATCAGGTATCTGTCAGAAAGTGTTGACTCCATATCTGCTTCTATAATTTCAAAATGTTTATGATCTGCTTGTTTTCAGTAAGTTCTGGGTACTGTAACAGTTTCATTCTTGAGGCTGACAAGTTAATAATAAAATACTATGCCATTTTTAACAAATCATCAAGTGGCAGGGGGAGAAAACATGCCAAATCATGATTTATGAATGCCTTTTTGTAAATATATATGGAGATGAAATCTTCAACTTCATAACTCTAGCTGTCCATAAGTAATTACTGAGACAAAACCACAAGGTTCAGGCAAGCAATACGTCACTGTTCAAAAAGCTTGCTAGAGGAATGAGTTCGAATTTTTACTTTTAATGAAAGGATATTTTCTTTATTGTATTTCTTATTTCTAAAAATAGTACTCAGTATATGAGTTATATTTTATGTTCTCAGCTCCCTTTATTATGTATGTGTACTCTAAGGAAACATGATTTATATTCTGTTACAAATTTACATGACATAGTTAAAAATTATTTGTATGAGCTCTTGAAAAAATATTAAAAGTCTCAATTATTGTATTATTTATTTTCTTTTACCAGGTTCAAATTCCTGCTACTTTTGATTTGTCATATAAAACTGTTGATCAGTGGGAGATAGACAGACAATCTCTGAAGTTGGTGAAAAAATTAGGATCTGGTCAGTTTGGTGAGGTATGGGAAGGACGGTGGAATAACAACATCCCTGTGGCAATCAAAACATTAAAACCAGGTATGTGAATTACTCTTAAATGCTAATAATGTGAAATGCTAGCAAGGGTGCTCCTTTACTTTTTAAATGCTACTGAAAAGAAAGCCTATCTATATATGCAATCATTCTTAAATCCACACACGTAAACATGAAGATTAGTAATGCTCAAGGTCCAGATATTATTTGGTATTTTGAATTAGAATTTTATACAGTTTTCAGTTTCTAGATGACTGCATAAAAAGGCAACCCCAACAAGTGTTGTACCTCTACTTGTACAATGTTGCTTGTACAATTTGATAATTACCCAATTATTGTACAATTTGATAATTTTACAATTGAATAACTACATTTTATCTAGAGGTGAAGTAACTGATTGACTACTGATTTGTAACCTGGAGAATTTTTCTAGTGATTAGATGCTATATTATTTCTTTGGTAGTATAGAATATGTACTATGATAAGTTTGTACTTAAGAAGTGCTTTAATCTTAGTATTGACTGAATAAAATTTCTCAAACTTTTTGATACACAACGTTAATATCCAATATTTGCATGTAGTGTAAGATTGTGACTAATACAGCTTTTAGCATTTTTCTTAATTATGTTTTATTAATGTCAAGTAATTTGTGCATTTTAAATTGACAACATAAAATATCTGCCAGTAGATGGCAAGAACCACATAGATAAGAAATTTAGCCTGGATGACATACGTGTTTTTTAAAAAGAGATAACACGAGTTGTGGTTAATTGAAAAAGCTTGTGTTGGGCACTAATGAACATGGTTCAGGAAGCAGAACAGATTCAGATCTTTGATTCAGAATAACAGTAATATGCTTGAGCCCTGCTTGAATAGTTCCCTGAACAGGGAGGAATTTAAGCCTGTGTTTTAAAGCTCTCTTGTATCAGGATATTCTTCGTGTTTTGAGGCTTGCAAACTGAAAGAAAATAAGCTGGTTTGTTTTTTTTTTTTTTCTCTGCTTACTGGAAATATAAAAACTGCTCAGACTAAAGACCTTCTGCTATTTATATGAAAGACAGTACTTTTTTCAGTGAACAGGTGCATCTTCCTAGTGACCCAGTAAACACAGAAACTATCTTGAAATCTCTTTCTCAGTGGAATAAACATAAGACTCACTGCAAACTCATTATTACATGCAGACTAGCACAGTATAGTGGAAGAAACTCCTTCAACAGTGATTCTTTTTATAGTATCATAGTTCATCTGGGAAAAAGGGCTCAGTTAATCAATACTTTTCTATCTCTGTTTTTTTCACTGTAGTCTGACTCCTGTTCAGGTCAACAGTAGTAGTCTCATTGATTTCATGGTAGGTTATATTGAGTTAGAGCAGACACAAACCCTACCTGGATGCGGTGCTTGGATAGCAGAGAGTTTGTGATCTAATGCTCTGATGAGGAAGTTGTACTTTGCATATAGTGTTGCTCAGAATGAAGGCTTTTATTCTCAAAACCATCTTGATAAATTATATAGTTAATAATGAATTTCTTATCACTGTACTTTCTGAACTATCTCGTTCTACGAAAACAGTTCAAACAGTGTGAAATGTAAGCATATAACCTTGTAGTGTACTTCTCTAGGGAATTATTTTCTTCTAATACAGTGTTTTTCACCATTTGGAGTGCCTTACTGTAATCAGTTAGCACACTGGTTCTCCACAGCTCGTCCTCATTGTTCCTCATGAGGAACAACACTTCACTAATTAAAGAAAAATACCAATACCCTCACCTTAATCTGAGTAATAAATGTCTACCTTGGTACTAATAAAATTTCAGCAAAGGGTAGGTCTGGTAATTTCATTCACTATAATATAAAGAAGATAAATTAATGTGGAAAACATATTGGTTCGTGAGTAATCAAGAAATACATTGTGTTATATGTTGATGTTCGAAGCTTCCAATATTCACATAATTTTACACACTGTAAAATGATCCTCTGCTGTTGTTTGGTTCAAATATCTAAATAGGTTGTCTTTATGCTGGGGCAGGAGGGGGCATATTTTAAACTGCAGACTTTTCACTAAACTGTTTTGCAGTGTAGACCCTCTGGAAAAGGAATTCATCAGAAAAAGAGGAGTGTGTTACACTCAAAGTGATAGGGGGCTGACATAGAGAGGGTTTGTAAAAAAAGGCTTTACCACCAGAGAAATTGTGACACGGAGCAATGCTCTCATTACTAAGCAGGAACATGTTGATCAAGTAGGGTAATCACATAGTGAACAGTGTAGAAGAGCATAATGCAATCAGTATTTCATAGATTTATAGGCCTGAAAGGCAGAAAGGATTTCTGTTACTTTGAGTTTTTCTGTTAAACATTGTTTTTTACATTTGTTTTAGATCATATATAATCTGAATACTTTGCTCTTATATACCATTGCACATCATTCCTCTGCCGAGATTAGTATTTATATGTAATCAAAAAACAGCTTGTTCTTGACTAGATAATAACTAGGAATGTTCTCGTCCCAAGATGAAGGCACTGTGAATATGGGTCTAATTTCATGTCGGAATTTTCCTGATGTCTTCTCTCTAACTCTCGTTATGTATTCTTGTAATAAAATAAAAGCCTCTTTGTATACATTAGTTTTTCTTTCCATTTTACAGGTACATACAGAGTGAGTTAAACCAATTTTCAATTGTCTTTAGAAAGGCTAAATAGAGTTTCTTGTTATACAGTATTTTCCTCATTTCTCAAACATTTTTTTCTGGACTTAAAATAGTTTCTAGTTATTGCTGCTAAAAGGCTTAAAACTAAGGCTGCCAACGGCATCCTGCCCTGCATGAGAAATAGTGTGGCCAGAAGGACTAGGAAAGTGATTTTACCCCTGTACTCAGCACTGGTGAGGCTGCACCTTGAATCCTGTGTTCAGTTCTGGGCCTCTCACTACAAGAGAGGTACCGGAGTGTGTCCAGAGAAGGGCAATGAAGCTGGTGAAGAGTCTAGAGAGCAAGTTGTACGAGGAGCTGCTGAGAGAGCTGGGGTTGTTTAGCCTGGAGAAGAGGAGGCTCAGGGGAGACCTTATTGGTCTCTACAACTACCTGAAAGGAGGTTTTAGTGAGGTGGGAGTCTCTTCTCCCAGGTAACAAGTGACAGGACAATCATGCCAGGGGAGGTTTAGATTGGATATTGGGAAAATTTTTTTCATGGAAAGGGTTGTTAAGCATTGGAACAAGCTGTCTGGTGAACTGGTGGACTCACTATGCCTGGAAGTGCTCAAAAGATATGTGGGTGTGGTGCTCGGGGTCAAGGTTTGGTGGTGAACATCACAGTGTTGGGTTAATGATTGGACTTGATGATCTTAGAGATCTTTTCCAACCTTAACAATTCTATGATTTTGTGACTCTATGACCTTCCAACCTTCCAATTAGTTTTTTTAGGAAAAACTAATCTCCCAGAATTCTGATGAGATGGCAGTGATGGGTTTTCCCAGAGCCAGTTCTCTCTTGATGCAAATGTGTGATTCCTGACTTGAGAGTAATTAAGGTATTCAGAAACCTGTTTCTATTCCAATTTGGAGCAAGACCCTATTTTTCAAATATTGCACACAAACTGGAAACTTCACAACTGTTTCTTTCAGAAATATTGATGTGCAACATAGTAGCTACATTTTTCCTAGTTTTAGGCATCTATGTATCAGCTTTTTTAATAATTAGTGGGAAGAAATAAACATATACCAGATAAATCATATTATAAATTAAAAATGCACATTACAATGAGTAAATAACATACAATAAAAGCCCTTTTCTTTCCATTGATTGTAAAGTCTGGATACCAGGAAGCCAAAAATCTCAAAACACCTTCCCCCTACCCCTCTTCTTCCCAGGCTTAACTTCACTCTTGAATTCTCTACCTCCTCCCTCTCAGTGGTACAGGAGGACAGGGAATGGAGGTTGTGGTCAGTCTCTACCTCTCCTTCCTCCTCAGAGGAAGGGCTCCTCACACTCTTTTTCTCCAACATGGGGGCCTTCCCACAGCAGAGAGTTCTCCACAACCTTCTCCAACTTGAGTCCTACCCATGGGCCACAGTTCTTCACAAACTGCTCCAGCATGGGTCCCTTCCACAGGGCACAGTCCTTCAGGAATAGATTGTTCCAGTGTGGGTCACGTATTACACTCCTCTCTTCTCTGGCTGTTGCTAGTGTTCCACAAGTTTCCTTTCCCCATCTTAAATCTGTTATCTCAGAGATGCTACTACCATACCTCATGAGTTTGGCCTTGACCAGGAGCAGGTCTATCTAGAAGCCAATTGGAATTGGATCTGTCAACATGGGAGAAGTTTCTGGCAGCTTCTCACAGAAGCCATCCCTGTAGCCCCTCACTGCCAAACCTTGCCACATAAACCCAATATATTCTACACCTCATCTCTGTGTATAACATATTTAAGAATTATCATTCAAGTCCACATTCATCACACAAACTTCACAAGCTTCACTCACATGAAGAAAAAGAGTTCTCCACATCAAAATCAAAATACCATAATCATAACATCAAAGAAAAGTGAACAGTTTACACACAGTCCACCCTTTGTCCCTTCATCACAATTACAGCAACTGACATTCCACATGATCATTTCACCCTTTGCTGTCAAATGTCGTTCAGTCCATGTCTTTCCCGTTACCTCTCCTTATATTTATTGCAATCTGTTGATCACTGTGACTATAAACAAAAAGCATTAGTAATGTGATCCCTTCATTCAGATAATTCTCTTATTTGTTCACTGGTGTTTGACTCTGTTTTGGAGACATCTGTGACATTTTACGAGCCAAAACCGTAGTGATGGATTTGTGAATGAAAAAACAAAACACAAGAACATCTTTGTCTTAAGGAGCATCTCTGACTTTTGAGTTCTCAAAGTTATCAAAGAGGTGTAGGGATCAATAGATAAGAAAATAGTCTGGAAGCCAGCAGGTGCTATTTCTGTTCTTGGCTCTGCATAGCACAGGCCTGATGCAGATCCCTGAACACATCATTTCACATTTCTGTTTTTATTTCCTCTGTGAGACATTGTTTTTTCTATTTAAGTGGAAATCATTGCAGCAGGGATTTGCACTTCATCCTATGCTGAGTGTGATGGATATCCAAGAACCTATTGTTTGGGCTATCTTGCTTCTCTAACTGTCAGCATGTGAAGCAGACATCTATCATCACCAATTAATTGTATCTGATAAAGTTCCTTACGCCTGTTCAAGTTGACAGATACATTTGTCATTATCATCTTGTAAAGCATCTCCCAAGCTTCTCTCTGCATGGAAGCTGCCCAAGCATGATTTTTATTTTTCAGGAGGCTTTCCCCAAATAGTGCCTGGGCTAGTACCATCAGCAGAGTTTTTAATACTATTTTCAGTTCTTCAATATGTCATCTCTTTAGTGCATATGCAGTCTAAAAATCTTTGCACTCAGGAAAGTCCCCCGATTTTCCAGGAAAAAAAAAGAGATTCTTTTATTCCATTTAATTCACTATATGGCCTCACTCTAACCTGTAAGTTTACTTCTGTATAGTGACAAAGCTGCTTGAGAACTGCCAGATACCTGTATCACTCACCTGTTAATGTGCATAGGATTTTTTAGTCTCTTGTGTTGCCAAATACATGTTCTTTTTAATTTTATTTCTTTATTACTCATAAATTTGTTCAGCAGATCACAGTTATACACTTAACGTAGTCTCCACATAAGTTCATTGTATAAACTAATTCAGAAGACTAGGCTCTCCTGAAGTACAAGGTTACTTTGAAGTAATTTGGGAAGGTTTGCAAACAAAGTGTCTTTTGAGGGGCTTATCGAATATGTAAGGGCCACTTATGTTTAGGCCAGTGGAATCTGGAAAATAAATGACTTCCTCTCTAACTCATTTCCAGCTTATCAATGTGTATCATATAATGTGAAGCTTCTTCAAATCTAGAACAAAATATTTTCAAGAAGAAGGTAATCAGAACTGATATACGTGTTTTAAGTAGGCTTAAATTAGAGGTGATTCCTGTCAAAGCAGCACGTCATCATAGGACATATCAAAGAAATAGATTCCAACATTTTGGTCTTAAGAATGGCTTTGACATTTAAAAAAACATGTTTCATTCAAAAAACAAATTACCCATGCTGTATTTCCTCCAGATACTTATAAACCTACACCCAAACTGGTGTCTTACACAAAAGAAGCCTTCAGTTGTTTCAGTAAAGGCTTCTGTTAACTAATTATTTTATGATCAAGTGGTTTCTACTTACAGTAACCTGCTGTTCATACTGTGTTAACTACTTACAGCTGAAAACGTATGCTTCATTAAAAACACACATATTCAACTACAAACAAAAAAAACCTCAGTTTTTTGAAACTCTGTGTGGCATGTATTTCCTTCCTCAAAGGGGTGTATTGTAACATCTTTACTGCTGTTGTGACAGGCTTTATCCAAATAATTTGAAACACACGTTTGCTTGCTTTTGGGGGCAGTTTTTACTTTCTTATCCAGCTGCTAAAACTTAATCTTAGGCAAAACACTCATAAAGACACTTCTAAATTTTTTTCATTTGCATCCAATCCTTTTATTAACTACAGTATAGGATCTATAGGGCTCTGTGGAGCTTGGGGGACTGTCTGCTACTTGTACTATTTAACGATATAAACTGACTAAAACAGAAGGTTACATATGCTCTTTAAAATATGTGGGAAATACTTATGGATCTTTGTCACTAGTTTGTTATCATTATTATTATTTTCTTTTACAGTGTAAAGAAAAATTTGCAGCTATTCAACTAATAGAATACTTCTTTCCTGATCAATTTATTGAGAGTTGTCATAGGTGAAAAACATGTTGCTTGGTTGCTTTGTTAGAAGAAGTTTATAGCATGATTAAACTGAGAAATTCCTTGTAGTCAAACTTTGATGATGGGAACAAATCAGATTGTCATATTCTATGGTGTGAAGAAATCCTGTATGATGATCCATAGAGGCTGCATGACTTGGGAGACCCTAAGTGAGCAAATACTTTATCCTGTTTAGGATCAACTTGTCAAATTTTGGCACTGATGCTAAATCATTAGTCATGCTTATTCATTTGCTTTTGGAGGCAGAATGCTTCACACCGTGCAGTTTTCTGTAGATTTTAGGTTGATTTCCATGACAATGCATATATCTTGAAAAGAGTAAGCAAATGGGGCACAGTTTTAAATCAGTATCAAAGTGAGTCCAAACCCTATAAAGAACACCTTAGATATTTTTTAAAAAAAATCTAGAATTGGTGAAAAGCTCAAATAAATCTGTGAAGAGTGTGCTACTCAACACAGGAAAAAGGCGTAGAGTAAGCATTACAGATATTGGTTTTTTTCTCTCTGACTGTCATAGTTTCTACTTTATCCAGACCAAGTAAGATCATTTACTTTTCATGCAGGCCTTGACTTTCCTCTGACAGTGACAAAGGGAAATGAGTATAGCCTGTACCTGTTGAGGAGATATATTATTGGCTGCTCTCCATTTATTGATGGCAATGAAATCCATTAAGTTTCACCATCCCTCCTAATGACATCCTATTAAGTATTGCCAAATTGGACCCTATGGGATTGCCAAGGGAAGTATGAGGACACAGAGGAGAGGAGCACCTGTCCCTTGAAGTAATCTTTGCTCTCCCAAGTTGCAATGTCAAGTGGCTCTTTTTTCATAGAGTCTGTGTCAGAAGGATTTCTGAGTCATTCCTCTTGCATTAATGCAAGGATATGAAATCACACATCATTAGTATGTTTTGGGAAATAGTTGGAGCATTTTTCAGGAGGTGGCACTCAAGGTAGCTACTGAGTGAAAGTGGCCCAGGCTGATTTGTCAATTCTTTTTGTAGAACAGATTTTCTGTTGAAATTTTATTGCTGAGCTATTTAACATACTCCCAGAATTTCACTTAACTTAAACATCTGTGTTTGGAACAGAGACAAACTCTCAAATGAACCTTATTGGTTACCTAATGTTAAAAAAAAATAAAAACTTATTCTTGCAGCCTTGGCTTCTTAAATGACTCAGTCTGCTTACACCAGAAGAAGAGTTTGTTTTTAAACATATCATAGAGCAGAATAACTTGGATAGATTTTTTCCTCCCCAATTTGACTGTAATATTTTCTTAATTAAAGTATTTTGATTTGGGAGGGAAGAGACATTTGAGTAATCGAATAATTTCATATTTGTTTGTACAAGCATTTTGAAGTGGATATTATTTACCAACTTCCTCAGACATCTGACTGTATCTGATCACTACTGAATCATTCATAGAGAAAGCTTTGGTTCTTTATTTATGCATGTTTTTCTAATAAATCCCTTATTCAGGACATATGAGCTTTAATGCTAATTTTGCCATGACTCCCTGTGCCATTTCTGATTGTTTCTTCGACATAGTTTATACATTGGCTCACTGTGTATGTGAATAGAACTAGAGATGTTATGACCTTATTTAATGTGTAAAAGGTTGGCATAATTTGCTGTTAAGACACTTCAGAAGTTAAGGAATTGTAAAATTAATGTTACATCTGTGCATACGTTGGTATTTCTAGTAAGATTGTTATTACATGAACATTTTAAATATTTATTTTTATAGATATAAATGCACACATCTACTCAGTATATGCTAAAGTGATTCCAGTGCTTTCAGGCTTTGATTGGTGCAACAAATTCTTATTGCAGCACTAGTTTTCTCTCAGAAATTTTATGTTCATTCCCTAGACACTCTCACCTCAGTTTCTGGTCCTTTCATTAACCTCTTGTTTGCTTAAATTATATCCGCTAACATTCTAGCATCAATTTTTTTTCCTGTCTGGGGGAGGTCCCAGGGGCAGCTGATTTTAGCCTTTATATTTCTGGTGTCTGGAACACATATGTTCTCTGTCCCCACGCAACTGGCATGTTTCACTCATTAACTGTTTGTTTGAGCTGCACTGTCTGTTTTCTGTGGGAACTGTGAAGATTTGAGATGCTAATGTACTTTCAAAGGCAGAAAACAATCTCAGTTATTCCCTTAAGACTGCCAGGCTGGTAGGAAGGCCTTTAATAACCTCAGCTTATGTTTTGTTATATGCTGTTGTTTCAGGTTCAATGGATCCAAAAGACTTTCTGAGGGAAGCACAAATAATGAAGAACTTGAGACATCCAAAGCTTATACAGCTTTATGCTGTCTGTACCTTGGAGGACCCAATTTATATTATTACTGAGCTGATGAGATTTGGAAGTCTTCTAGAATACCTTCAAAGTAAGCAAATGACTATAAATTCATTTTAGGGATGCCACAGCTTTCAGTTTAGTAAATACACTAACATAGAAAATAGAAGTACAACACCCTAGTTTAATGTAAAAGCTGCATTATTTATCATGTGTGGGTGTGAGAAAAATGGAAAGAGAGGTTTATGAATTTTTGGTGTGCCAAAATATTTGAGAAGTAGGAAAGAATCACATTCACAGTTTGATTCTTGCCTTGTAATGACCCATATTTTTTCACCCAGTTCTATGAGTAGATGAGAACATACACTAATGGAATAAAAATACAAGCATCCAGAAGGATAGGTCGTCATATTTGACGTGAAATAGAAGCACTTCCACAAAATGTACTTAACAGCTTTGAAAACTACTACTAGTCAGGGATAGCTTTTCACTATGAATTTGTCCCTTGACTATCGCATTAGGGTTTTTATCTCAGCAGTACTTCAAAGTACTCTTTTGAAGGCAAATAATAATTAAAAATAAAACAGTACAGCCTGGAACAGACTGGCATAATGATTGCACTTTAAGTTCACGCCTGTTACTGAGAAATACTTGATTCTAGTGTTACCCATTTTCAGTTTAACAGATGTCTGTGAGATGCTAAATGTAATGATCTCTTGAAGACAAAATGTTTGCTGCGATTGTCATGCTTAGTTTCTTCTCTGTTTCCAGCCCATAAAGCAAAGCCCTGTGAAATACCACAGAAAGTATTTACCATGACATATGCCTTCCCCCATCTTCTCTGCAGAACTGTTTTTTTAAATGAGGCTCAGTCCACAGACAATTAAAGCTAAAGAAATCCCTGCTAGAGACACAACCACACCAGGAACTGCACAGAGAGGGTCTGCCATGAGCTTGGGCCAGATCATCTGCAGTTATGTAGGCATTTACTTTCCAGAGGTAGCAAGGCACAAATTTTCTTTCAATTCTCATCTTTGGTGCCTTTGTGTGCAGATTGCCACTTACCTGGTTGAAAGAGCCTGGCACATCAGGAAATGATTGCTGTGCATGAAAACACTTATTGCACTGGAGAAATAGCTCTGAGAAAGCCAGGATGAGCTACAGCTATTGCAGAGGTGAAAATTGGCCTGTTTGTGCACAGAGTACAACATGTCCAGGGCACATCAACACTGCAGCCTGTGTGTGGATCAGTTGCCAGCATATGCACAGCAGCTTCCCTTGCTGTGTGCAGCACATGTATGCAGCCTGCTCCTTGCCTAAGTGCTCACTTCTGTAGCCCTGCATCAGAGACTGTGAAAAGTCAGTTGGTTTTCGGGCAGCTGCCATTTCAGGATAACAGTAAAAATGTCCAGATGAAACCCAGCCTAGTGGTATCTCTCCTTCTCTGATGGTCTATGCACAGGGAGTTATATAGAACTAAGAGGTGGAGGCAGAGATCCACGTGCTTTGATAGGTATTGGTCAGAGAAAAGTCTGCTGTTAGTGAGAGCATTAAGGAAAGAGATTTGAAGCTTGCATAGAGCTCTGTGACTGGAAGTAATCCGTATCAGCTGGCATGGAGTGGACAGCTCCTGATGAGTGGACAGCCCTTGAGACTCAACCACTGCAGGGAACAGGAAAATATTTCCAGAAAGCTTCTGTCTTGTGAGTGGTATGGGTAAATATGGCAAACTAGAGCAGAGGAAAGTCCAAAGATATTCTCTGGTTAAGTTTTCCCTCCTAGAACTGCATGATATGCTTTTCCAACTTTAAAAATCCCTAACATTTTATTCACAGTTACTATCCCATTCCACCATGATGACAGCTGCTTAATAATGATAGGCATGTGAATTCCCTGTGCATCCAGCAAATGTACTTTGGGATAGTTCCTGATGAACACTGCTATGCAGAGTTATTGAGCTGCCACCAATATGAGAAAAATGCAACTGAAAACTTTTCTTTGTAATTGGATGTGAATGAAATTGTCATAAATATATGAGTGCTTTTATGAAATCTGATAGAGCTGGAGCTTGTTCTGTCAGGGACACAGTCTTGAAGTTCTGTAAAATATTATGGAGGCAATGCCCTCACTGGAGAAAATGCTGCTTTATTAATTTATTTATTTATTTATCTTCCATTCATTTATTCATTTATTTATTTATTTTTATTGTCAGATATATGTCAGTGAGAATATTTTTCTGTCTTTTCTATGTGAGATGTTGTGATTGATTGCTTAGAACAGGGTGCAGACCCCAAGACTTCTTTATTATTTTGTCTAATAATTTTTTCATATAAGGGTGATAGTTTTGTCAAAAAATATTAGTAAAAAAGGACATGGAAGCGCTACATTTTCTTTACTGGTCCATGGGAAGATTTTATAAATTCAGCAGTAGTGCCTGATTTCGAGTGTGGAAGTTATATACACATATACATATGTATAAGACTTAGCAGCCTTCCAGTACTAAAGGGGACCTACAAGAGAGATGGAGAGAGGGACTTTTTACAAGGGCGTGCAGTGATAGGACAAGGGGGAATGGTTCCACATGGAGAAAGGCTGTATTTAGTTTAGGCAATTCTTAGAAATTCTTCACTATGAGAGTGGTGAGGAACTGGGACAGGTTGGCCAGAGTTGTGGGTGCCCCATCCCTGGAAGTGTTCAAGGTTGGACAGGGCCCTGAGCAACCTGATCTAGTGAATGGCATCCCTTCCCATGTCAGAGAGATTGGAACTAGAGGATTTTTAAGGTCCCTTCCAACTCAAACCATTCTATGAGTCTATATTAAACTTTGTTTTAAAGTGCTTTTAAAGGGAGGAAGAACTATAAAAACAACAAAACCGAACTAAAGCACACGTATACCCATATGAATACAGCTGTAATCTCTTCTGCAGTGCTCTGAATGAAATAGGAGCTCGCTCTGGTTTGGAACCTTCTACAGTTGTACTAACACAGTGCTGTGCTTGAAGTTGTGTGCTTTGGCTGGTCCAGCCTGGCATTTTGGAGGTACAGTCAGAAATCTTTATGAGACCTCTATACATGATTTACACATCAGATCCCAAAGAGATATGTGCTTTCATCCTCTACTTTTGTGCACAGTTTGCAGCTCCTGATCAGCTGAGGCTCCTCCCTAAAGCTTTCCCTCCGGAACAGCTGCAGTGCAGAACCAGCTCACAGAGATAAAGCATCCAAGAAATACTGCAGAGGCCAGGGACTCTTCCTTTCCCTCAGCCCACAGGATAAAGGCAGCAGGTCAGCTCAGTCTGGTCTGCAACCCCCAAAAAAGGCCCCAGTAGAAGAAAAAGTCTTTCAAGTGCAACTCCACTCTTAGAGGTGGATCTTGTCTTTGTCCTTCAACATGGTGCACCAGGGTGTCCTGCAAGGAATAAGACAGGGAGGGTTTAGCAGCTCTTAACTCCTATTCTGCACTGAGGCAGCTCATTAAACAGCAGGCTTATGAGTCATCCCTTTTTCAGTGATGTCTGTGCCCTGCCTGTTGGAGCAAGCTTGTGTCAGGCTATCCTGCAGCATCGGCAGACCAACGTGCTCAAGTTTGTCTGCATTCTTGTCTGCTCTCACCAGGAGGTAGTTCACAACACGTGCAGATAAAGAAGCCATGTTCCCATAAAGGGAACATTTAAAACTGGCCCACATAAGATAGCTTTCAAACCCCAGTTACTCATGCAAGCTACCTGAACATATTTAGGTATTTTCTGATTAAATACAATACGAGCATGATTTGTGGATTTATATCTTTGTGTAGCAAGGCAAATAGTAAATGTTGATGCCTGCCAGTTATCAGACTTGCAAAATTTCAGACCATTATATTAGTCTGTGGCTTGAATGGATTTTCACATCCGCTGATTTTTCTCCCTCTTTCTTTTAAAGGTTAATGCAACTATGAAACATATGTGTAGGAGAGGAAAAGATGTTCTGAGTCAACAATAGAAGTAAATAATCTTAGTGCTGGATTATCATGACAATGAGTTTAGCCTCAAAAAGGAAGTAGGGTAATACATATACAGGACAAATTTAATAATTTAATTTTTTTTTCCTACCTATTCATCTCAGAACATTGAGATGAGCAGGAAATTCAAAGCCTGGAGATTGCAGAACAGATTAGTAAACAATGGAATTCCACACTATATTTAACTTTACATAAAGTGGGATTGCAAGGTTATGTCAGATAAAATGCCAGAACTGGAGGAGGATATGCAAAACAATGCTAAGACACACTATCACTACAAATTAATTAAAAATAAACAACAGAAAACTGCCAGCTACGAATATTTTGTTTCTCTAACACAGAGACAGCAAGTAAAAGTCACCATCCTGATGAGAAAGGAGAACTGCCAATAAGCCTAGCAGCAAACATTCAGCTTCTGATATTGTTAAGATTCTGAAACAGAAAGTCAAAACTGTTTTGAGTATTAGAAGATACAGAGGTAGGCACTCATGCTTCAGTGCTGCAGCATTTGGGTTTGGGTGACAGTGGTGCTTGAATGTAACACTGTTATGGCTTATCTAGATTACTTTGGGGTATAAATTCTTTGCTATGAGGAAGTCAACTGTCCCCAAAATTCCACAAAGGCCCTGAATTTGTATTCTCATGTGTTATACCCCAATGACTTTTTTTGGTTACCTGTCTTAAAATTTTTGGCCACAGTTTTTCATGGCCCAAGACTCTTCCCTTCCTTTGTGGAGGCAAGTTGCTCTTGCTCGAAGTTCTGCTACTACTTACTTTGAACAGCTGATCTTTGATTGGCAAATCTCAATTTCTGAGATTTGCTGATTTTAAAGTGGTAGGAATGATACGTTTCAGAAAGTCCTACTAGAGAAACAGGCAGCTTGAAAACAGCTCAAGGAGTCCTACTGTTGAATAGCAACGACAGAGATAACAGCATGAAGCATCAAGTGAACCGGAAAGTGAAAATGAGAGTTAGACTTGACAGCAGATGGTATATTTCCTAGTAAGAATCATTGGAGAACAGGGAACAACGGTAACTTTGTGCTTTTCCATCCTTAGTCAGCTTTGGTTACAGCCAGTGGGTACTGACATTAACTTTTACTCACAGTTTGGAACAGTTTTATGCACCTGTCACGAAGGTGCATACTATGTTACTATCAGTAGATAAATAGCTTTCTCTTTGGACTGTGTCAGAAGCTCCTTCCAGGCCTAGATCAACTCTTGCATTTCGTATCCACTCTTTTAGAGAAGATGGGGCAGGCAGGCACTGTTACTCAATTATTGTGAAATAAATAGCGTCATTCACTGACCTCTGTCATTTGAATGGGCTATTACTTCATTGTATTGCATAGTTTTGTTCATTTGTATTGGCTATTTGACCCAGTTGGTTTTCCAATTATTTGTATCTGTAAATATTATGTTCTTCTTGTAATCTTCTTTTTAAACAGAAGATGGAGGCTCTCAAATCTTCCTGACGCATCAAGTAGACATGGCTGCTCAGGTGGCTTCTGGGATGGCATACCTTGAATCTCAGAATTATATCCATCGGGATCTGGCAGCCAGGAACGTTCTTGTTGGTGAACACAATGTTTACAAAGTGGCAGACTTTGGACTTGCAAGAGTTTTTAAGGTAGGAGAACAAGGTGGAAGAGGCCAACTAAAGGATTGACTGCAGTCTCTGAATTGCTGTGTTGAGGCAGAAGGCAAGCCCGGGGAGAAAAGGATCCCTAAAGTGTTCACTTGTATCCTCTACCTGCATTATTCTATGCAAAGTTAGAAGGTGGCCTGTACCTTTTTACCAGTCTACAGAAAGCATTCTGGTGTCTGCTTCCCACTCAGTCACCAAGGAAGAAGCCTAGGCAATAGCCTTTGCAGGACAACCTTTATCCACAATGCTAGTGTCTGCCACATGGAGAGAGATCATGAGAATGATGAAAAAATAATATTCCTGAGCCTGTAAGGGAAGGCATATAAAAATGTATTGGCAGCTATTCTCTCCTTGTTCACTGCTCCACTGCCTCCATGATGCTTGCAAGTGCAGGTAGTAATCATAAAAGTACCTTATTCCTCTCCACAGCTAACAGCAAAGTTCATAAAGTGAGCTCTCAGAGCTTTAAATCTGATCCAGTTTCAAGTTCTTTGCCACTGCAACGTGTTGGGTTTTTTTTCTCTCTAGCCCTTGGGGGCAGGGAATGACAAGTATCCCTGGCCAATATCTCCCTAGGAAAGAGCTGTGGTTTAGAAATGAGATTTCCTACCTCTGAAAATGATTTGATCAGAGTTGGAAAGATTTTATTTGCCATATTTTATGGATTTCGGTACGTAATCCATAATTTCTGAGGTCTTTGCTTGTGTTTTTTTGTTTGTTTGTTTGTTTGCTTTCCCTAATTGATTTATGTTCTTACCCTGAGAAGGAAAAACAGAAAAAAAAGTCCTCTGCTTCTCATTTGTTTTTTTCCATTCAAGCAGCTGAAATTGGAGTTTGTTACAGAGTTGGATTTATTAGATACTGAAGTATAGAATAATGGCTTGACAATGGCATCAAGGGACTTTGAAAGTGCTTTTTGCTTAATTTTGATCCTTCCAGATATGCATAAGTTCGGATTGCACATTCTTTAACATGAAAAAATTACATATTTTTAAATGATCAATGCTCACAATGGATATTTCTCCTTTGTCCCCACTAGAAAGGGTAATAATTTACAGTTGTTGACATTTCTTGTTGAAACTGAACGTTACTAAAATACTCAGTCACAGAGTCATTTTGGCATATTTTTCTAGGAATATTTTGTCTCCTAAGCCAAAGCACTGACATGGTCACATAAAAAGATCACAAAGGATTAGGTGTGAGAAATGAAATCAGTATTTCCATATGCATTAATTAGTATAATGAAATAATTTCTTGCTCCTAGAGATTAGTATTATGGTCAAGATGCTGTATTAATATATAGATAAAAATCACTACAACCAGTATTTTCAAAACTATATGGCATTGAAGCTGGGAAACAGATTTTGTATTAAAACAAGGAAAATCTGGTACACATTTGCCAGGATTTGCATCTGAAAAACTTGACCAAGACCTGGATGTGACTCAAGTACACTAAATTACATGTAGGAATTAAAGAGAGAATAAATGTTCCCAAAATTTAGATGTCTGTGCAATAAACCATGAAGAACATTATTCTACAAATTTGCAAGTCAACAGTTTTTCTATGTGTCTTTCATCTTCACTTTACATTAATTAATTTGACTCTCTGTAAGCTAATATGTTAATTTGAATCAGTCAGAGTTTATTCTTTGGTCCCAGAAATCTGCTTAAGTGATTGTTATCATAGTCAATGGCCCTTCAACACCACAATAAATCACAGAAGAAAGGTTCTGAAATTCGTTAGCTCTTGCTCTTGCCTTCTCTGTCTACTGAAGACATGACGTGAAGCCATTTGGTCTCTAGTGTCAGCAGGATGCTTACACTGCCATTCCTGACAGACTATGCATTCCTGAAATCTTGCATGCCAGGTCCAAAATTCACAGTAGCAAGTCGTAATTAATCAGGAGCCACTCCAATGCTGTGTGCTTGCTTGAAATGATAAATGCTTTAGAAAAGCCTCTGATGAAGCCTCTGCGTTTCTCAAACGCAAAGCCAAACTCAGTGATGGAAACTTCAGAAAATGTGTACTGCAATGCCATGAAAGACAAGTTCTTGGCTAAAAGATGATAAGATTAAGCACATGCTGAGCTTAGTCAGGTGCTTAAGTGCTTTGCTGAAGCAGATCTGAAATCAGGCTTGCTTCATTTTATCCATGACAGGTAGAAAATGAAAATGTATATGAGGCTAGGACTGAAACAAAACTCCCAGTAAAATGGACAGCCCCGGAGGCAATCCGCTACAACAGATTCAGTATTAAATCAGATGTCTGGTCATTTGGAATACTTCTGTTTGAAATAATCACCTATGGAAAGATGCCTTACGCTGGTAAGTCCTTTAAACCTAAAGAATGATGTCTAATTTTTTCTTGCTTTCAGAATGACACACACAAAAAAAGGTTGAATGCCTGTACTATGGGAATGTTAAAGTGTTAAAACTGTAAATAGAGAAAGAAAGCTGCTCAGATGAGGTCCATTTAGTGGGTCAGACCTTTTGGCTTCCCCAGGCTCCCTGGAAGCTTTCCAAGGGCTGTGATTAGCATACGTTTAAGCTTCTTCTTGCTGGAGTCAACCTGCACTGCACAGGCACCTAAGCCAGCTGGCTATTTTCCTCCAGCATCAGATCAAAGATGCCAATTCTTGGAATATGGAAAAAGGGAAGAAAAAAAGAAGGTTTTTTTATTTTCTATACTGTCCTTTTTTACATTTTTTATTTTAGTATATCTTATGAAAGAATAGGCTGTATGTAAAGCATGGCAACAGGCACTTCAGGAAGACACTGTCTGAGAAATGAATCAGGGAGGTTTTCCCCCCAAGCTCATATTTTACTATTGTGGTGAAAATTCTTTATAAAGAAAAGGATCACAAGAATTAAATAAATAATAAAAAAAATGTCACCAACATCAAAAGTAGATATAATGGTCTGAGAGCAGCTACTGTTCCTAGCACTGTGAAAAATGCTCAAGGAACTGTGGCTCCAATAACATACGATATTAGTGAGATGATTGACTGTGGCTCATTTAGTGCTGGTGAGAAGAACACAAGGGAAGAACTAAAGCAAAAAAAAGTTATGTTGCACCTGAACAGGCCTGAGGGGTGGTATGTTCACCATAAACTACACTTCACAGGGTCCCAAACTGATATTTCCTGTAAAAGGCAAAATTGATTTTACTCTTTGATTCCTACCCTCACCTCCTGCGAAAGTGTTCTGAAGAAAAGATAAAAAAAGAAAAGCAAAGCAAAAAATCCTGAGGTCTTACATAAACTACAGGTGTGTGCATATCCACAGACAGACACACACAAATAAAAGATTTTAGTATAAACATGTAACACCATGGTTCTGAGTATTGTCTGAAAATACATTCAGTGCTATCCCTTTGCAAAGACATAGTTTACCTATATCTTGACAGTAGAAAATGTCCTTTTGCTGTGGCAGTTTGCTTACTTGGTATTACTTCCAGCAGTTTGTTCTCAGTAATCAGTTAGGAGAAAAGGTTGTGTTGATTTGTGACGGCAGTGGACAATGTGCAGAGGAAACACTATTCAGAGGCCTAGGGAAAAGAAGTAAAGATTACACAATTCAAGATTTAATTTAAAGAGTAAAAAATTAAAAGTGAGCAGAAAAATAGTCTTAGTATCTAAAGGTAGGGTAACGGTTTCTTCTCCATTACTGGTGGTGGCAGAGCAGACAGGATGTCATGGCACATCTGCCCTCAAAGAAACTTAGGGCTGACTTTACTAAAAAGTTTCTAAATGTGAGGAAAATTCAGTAGCAGGACAGGTTTTCTTGAGAGATTTTGAAGTCATTGAGACTAGAGAGATTTAGCAACAGTTTAAGTGAAATAGATGTCAGAAAAATTTTGGCAAACCTGGCTGGTGGAAGAAATGCCTCACACCCAGACAAACCCATTTTCCTCGCAGATGGTGTAGTCAGGGTGAGGTGGTTGGGAATCATTTGAGCTGGTTTTTAACTGCTGGTAAACAGTAAGAGATGAGGCTCCATCCCTGGAAGTCTTCAAGGCCAGGCTGGAAGGGGCTGTGAGCAACCTGGTCTAGTGGAAGGTTTCCCTGTCCATGGCAGGGTGGTTGGAACAAGATGGTCTTTAAGGTCCCTTCCAACCCAAAACATTCTACGGTGATTCTAGTGATGAAGAGACAGAGATATGTGGCATCACTAAGTAGACCCCTAGTAGTCTGATGAACTTATTTTGGCTTGCAGGTATGCCAGGACACCAGGTGATCCAGCTGCTGGATGATGGGTACAGGCTTCCTCAGCCAGAGACCTGCCCAGCGCCGCTCTACGAGATGATGCTGCGGTGCTGGAGCGCGGATGTGGATGGGCGACCCACCTTCGATGCCCTCAGCAAGCAGCTGGAGGACTACTTTGATGCTGAGTCCTATTCCTATGCCTAGGCACAGGCCACGGTGAAAGGAACCCCTCGGTGGGCCCTGAAGGATAGGTGCTAGCCAACATACATGACAGGGGGCTGTGGAATCAGCCTAATCTCAGGCTTTGAGGTTACTTGGAGGTGCTGAGGAGTTCTGGTATGTTTTCATTCCCACGCTGATCCTCAGAGACTCTTAAATTTTTTTAAAAAATAAAGTGTCTTCTATTTATTTTTAAATAACAGATTGCAAGAATGAACAAATGAAATGAGTCTAGCTCGATAACTATTGTAATTTTTTTCATTTCTTCATTGGAATAATTATTTACTTTTGCTTAAATTTTTCATTCCTACCAGGTTGTTCTCATGAAGTAGTGTGATGGCTCCGCACAGCAGGATCTGTGCTGCCAGAGTCTTCTCACTGTAAAAAATAATAAAAGTAATCCTGTGACTGTGATGATGTCAGAATCCAAATTAATTGCCTTGCTTAGACTTGAGGTACACATGCTTTTGCTGTATCAGAAAATAAACAGGTGTTCACTGGAGAAAAGGAATTATTTTGTTTTGTGGATGTAAAGACTGATCTTTTTTAGTTTGTCTACTGTTCCTCTATTACAAGAATAAACATTAGATTCCTAAAGCTGTTTGTTCTTAAGGTTGTTAAATAGTATCATGGAACTGATAAACTATTGTTCTTTGAACTCTAAGGATTTATTTTATAGCTCTTCATTTTAGGGGTATGGGAGGAAGAGGTATTTTAATATGAACTTAAGACTGCCTTAGCCTTTTAGAGTGACACTCTTTCCAGTCCTGCTCCACCAAATCACACACCGTCTCCAACAGGACAAGGCCCAGGGCAGGTCTAGGTAATTTGCAGAGGAACTAGCAATCCATTCTTCTACCTTCTCCAGATGTAACTTTAATGTAGTTGATTTAAATAACAGATTAACCATTTTATTTTCTTCCACAGGAAAATGGAGCCCAGGTTCTTCTTCTAGTTGTCTTTAAGGTTATAGACGTTAAATTTTTTTGGTCCTTTTTCAGATTAACAACATCAGTTCTGCTAAAATTGGATAACACTGTGACAGTTTTGTGTTCTCAGTTTTGAGGCTTCCAGAACCAAGAAATAATTATTTAGTTGTGATTCATCAGTTAATTATTTAACAAAATAATTCAGGAATTAAAAACTGTACTGTGTTAGCATAGTGCGAGGTCAGTATAAGTGTGCTACCATTTCCCTCTAATATCCAAAAAGGATATAAAAAAATTAAAACATTCATTACTTTAAAGGCCAGGTGGCTTTTATTACACCTTTTTCAAATTCTTGTCTTCTCTTTATACTTCAGATCTATTCATCTTGCTAGCTTGCCTTGCTTCTAATTTTTAATTTCCTTTTCCCCTCCTCTAGTTTTGGAAGGCAGCACACTGCTTGTTTCTTTCATGCACATCTCGTATGTACTCATTATTCAAATCCCCTTTCCTTATTTATTGTTTTTCTCCTCTTTCTATCTCACTACAGTGTCTTTATAGCATTGTGTCTCTGTTCATTTTCTGTGCAGTGTTTCTTCCTGCTAACCCTCTTTATAGTAATCAAATTTGTACAGCATAATACAGCTATAATTGATTAACTGTCATAGCATCCATGTGAGTTTGGAAAGTAATCACCCACTCAGAAAAAAGTGGAAATTTGGCTTTGCCAAACCCATCCTGATAAGAATTGGCATGGAGGGACATGGGAGATTCTCAGGCAAAGTCTCCAGCTGTCCTCTGTCCATGTTTGTTTTGAGACTCATGCTAGCTACTGGCTCATAGCCTCAACAAGATGTTATTTATGATTGTCAAACCTCCATCAATCCATGTGTATCTCATCTAGCTGGGAGCTGTGTTTAATTCTGTTACAGTACAAGGTTAGCAAATCCCACAGAGTAGGTTTATCTAATAAGAATAGGAATGCTGTTATTTGGAAGAATCTCTGTGTCAAAGCTGGCATCTGGATGTTTAAGCAGCATTTCTAACATGATTTTCCAGACTTAAAACATTAAGAATGTTGCAACTAAAAGCAGACTTTCCCCAATGAAAAAACCCCAAAACTGCTGATGAAAGGTATAATCTTAAAAAGCACAGACATGTTCAGTTCACAGGAGACCTGTTGCCAGGAAAAAAACCCAAACTTCAACAACAGGGAAATAGCAAAGTTTTCAGAATGCCAAATTACACCAGCTGGTCCAAGATGCTCTGTGCTGGCCTCTGCCCTCAAGTGGAGGCTTAGGGCATTTTGCAGGACTCCACTGAAGTGACACCAGTAATTCTGAAGAAATTCCACCTGCACAATATGTATATTCCTAAACCAACATATAGGAAGTAAAAATTCTACTTGCCCAGGTAAATTGAATTCTTTGTCTCCATAATTTCTTCTATAGTCAAAGGAGAGAGATCCTTGAGATGATAAATCAGTGTCCAAAACCTTAATTTCTCCTCTGAAGCACCCTTGGTGGTCTTCTTTGTGTTTGCTGCTGTAAAGATATCTGGCAGAGGTGAGACCCTTTGCTGAAGGGTGTGTGTAATAACCCACATGTTGTAAACTGAAATTAGCTGTTTCAAGCTCCATCTACCAAGTGTGGCCTCACGAGCCACCTTAGGCTAAAAGGAGCAGAAGCTGCAGTGAGCTGCACCCTGATGAGCCATGTGAGGAGCTGGCACCTGCATGTGATGGCCTCCAGGTGATAAAGCTTGGCATGCTGGGCTGCTGCTGGCAGGCTTGTTCCCCTGCTGCTGCATCCTGCCACTTCATCCCCTTTGCTTTCTCTTTGCCTGCTTGCACAGACACAGCTGGTTAATGGAGTTTGGGTCTGTCAGCTGCCTCTCCTATGTGCTGGCCCAGGGTGGGAGACAAGCAGCAGCACTGCCTGAAAGCAGCAGGTAAGTTCACTTTGGTGTGTCTCATTATAAATACTACATCAAATAAATTAATTTTGTGTTCATCTTTGAGACAGCCTATGCATATTTGGCCTCCCCAAGATGTACTGTGGGTGAAAAGGTGTAGTCACTCTTTGTCTTCTAAGCCTGAGCACCATTTCCACCCCACTGATGTGTGTCCTGAGACTAGTGCTCTCTCTTTTCTTAGCAAAAGTGGAAAGCAAGGAAAGGCAGGATAGTAGGTTGTTCATTTTTCTCTTGCTCTGGGTTGCGTTGACAAAGTCTGGTGTCTGCTATAACACCTTTGACATGATCAACAATCCAGTTGAGGCCAAATTTGGAAACCGCAAATGTTGATCTGAGATCCATTGGTTCCTTGTTCTGGCTTAAATCCATGCACTTGCACTTGCTCCCTTATTTTGCTTGTCTGTAAACTGTTGTTATACAAGGGAAATGCTGCCACTCTAATATGAGCTCTTATTTTGGGTCTTTGTTTTTCCTTGGGCTAGTAGGGGAACAAAGGAAACAAAAATCACCAATGCAATGGAACCAGTAAAGCTCTGGAAATAAAAAGTAATGTGGAAAATGAATCATTTGTTTTCAGCTCTTTCTATCCACATTTTTTGCAGTAAAATGGATCCATTATTAACAAAGACTGGTGGGGGAAGGCTGCAAAGAGTGATAAACCTTCCCAGAGTCCAATTTGCTGACAGGCAATGCAACAAGCAAAACTATACTTTCCAAACCCAATTCCATTTCACAATAATTTTATTTATATGGCAGATAGCAATTACAGTCAGAATTATTTGCTATGACTTGATTTAAATTAAACCTCAAGGTTATCATTTCCAGTTAAAGTGCACAGTGAGATAGGTTTAACATATCTCATTCTATTCTTGAGGCCTTTTATGTTCAAGGTTCTGCTAGTACTATCTATTGCACTTGTTTTTGCCTGATGGATCATGGAGGGAAAATAATGGATTCAGTTATGAGAAACAGTAATAGTTTTTTTTTGAACTGACATAAATTTCTATGTTTAGATAGAATAAAAGAATCAGGAAGAGATAAGTTGAATTTTCTACAATAGACTGGTCCTTGTGAAATTCACTTCACATAAATTGTACTGAGATGTCTTTTATATAATGTTTTATTTATGTAGTTCAGTTATTCTTTGACAACTAAATCATTTTATGAGGTCTTAACAAATGATAACTTAAAAATGTCCAACCAGAAAGAAAGAACCTCTATTTTTCTTAAACCCTCTATTCTTCAGGAAGTTATGGAGCAATGTAATTGAACAGTAAGTATTAGAGAGTCCCAAGTGTTTATATGTTGACTTCTATTAGAGAACTTTGCTCACCTAATCTGCATTCAAGAACATATGCAGGGATGCTAAATGTGATAGGGCAACAGGGAACCTTTTATCTCTTGTACTGCTTATTTTTTTTTTCTCCATTGTATCTCATACTTGCTTTCTGAATTACTTGACTATGAGCAGCAATTTTCTTTGTGAAGATTCGTAACTTAGAGCATATGAGGAACTGAACCACCTGAGTGCATTATTCTATTGTGGTTGAGACTCAATGAATTATCAGCATGTAGAAATGGATCACGTGACTCATTTGAGCAATTGCACCTTATGCTCTCTCTCCTATGTGCTTCTGTTTCACTCCTTTAAAAAGTGCTGTAGCAACATGTCCACTCAGTGCCCCTATGGCCATTGCGACTGGTCATATATTTGTACTGTATGGATCTTGGAGAAGATAAAAATGCTGCATGTTTGAACTGTACCACTGTGCTCAAAGGGATGTAGATGTGTCGTATATTTTCATGGAAAGCTGTGTGGCTTCCATTCTGTTCCAGCAACATCTGGGCCAGTGTGTGTCTCAGTCACCTGCTGTAAAAGTTTGCCGAGAAGACCTCTAGGTATGCTTAAACAAAATACTGAGCTGGGGTCTATGAAAAGACTCGTTCTATCCAAGCTTACTATTAGCAGGTCCATTTAATTTATTTTTTCAGTTACAGGCTTCTCAAGAAAGACTAGTGCAAAAGAGAAAAATTGATGACATGTATGAGCAAGCTGGGGACATCACTGAAAAATACTTTGGCATTTTATTCTTCACAGCTCTATTGTACTGAAGAATTCAGTCTGACCTTGTTTTGGTGTAGAGGAAATGAAAATGTACATTTGAAGCATTCAGTATCCTAGAAATGAATTTTAGCCAATTTCTGGATCTAAATATCACTAGAATTAAAAAACATGATTGTAGCTTGGTAGCTTGGTTTCCACCACTGTTTTCAACAAAATCTTTCAACTAAGATAGATACACAACTTCTTCATTTCTTCCCCCTTCCCCCATTTCTTTACCAGTATTATTATAGGGGTATTAGACCTCTCAAAGAGTTAAAAGACTCTTTAGTTGTCATAGAATCATAGAATCAGATAGGTTGGAAAGGACTTCTGAGATCATCAAGTCCAACCCTTGCTCCACTACCACCACAGTTACTAGACCATGGCACTAAGTGTCACATCCAATCTCA